GCCTCTGAGCGGCTTGACATTTGCATCGAAGGATCAGGGGCTGGGGGGCGAGAGATCGCGTACGAGAGGGCCTCCGAGCTGGCAGCCCGCATGCCAAGGAGGGCCTCTCCCTGGCGGCACGCACATGGGGGCACTCCAAATCCATTTTTAATCGTCCCCCGGGTCCGGTTTTTTAAGGCGCCTTTTTTGTAACTGGGGGAGTCCGGTTTGTCAGGGCGCTTTCTTTGGATTGGAGCTTCGGGGGTTTGATGAATTAAGGCGGCCCGTCGAATAGGGGGGTCCGGAATATCGGATCGCATTTGGAGGGGGGTCCGGTTATTTAGGGGGGGATTAATAAGGGATTTGGAGTAGGGGGGGGCGAGAAGGCTTCTTGGAAGGAGGTCGCTTCTCGGAAAGCGCCGGCCTCACGTCTGCACGCAGGAGGCCCACGCCTTCCGAGAAGCAGGGGCGCTTCTGAGCAGCCTCCCCCCTCCCCCGTACTTGAGCAGGGACCGACCGTCCTGGCATTTCTATAGGCCTACCACGAAATGTTCTTAGAATCCAGAAATGTTCTAAGAGCCAAAAAACAAGGCTCTTAGAACATAAACCCGATGTGCTGAAACAAGAGAGTCCCAGCCAGAAATGTTCTAAGATCATTGTGTGGAAGCCACAACAAGTTTTTAGAACATTGTGTGGTAGGCCTATAGGTACGCCAGGACGCTTCGCCACTGCTTGAAATACCCCCCCTTCTGCGCGTGGCCGATGCTCGGAGGCGGCACAGAGGGGGGCGTCCAAGAGGGGGGGGGGGGGGGGGCGCAATAATTCAGGCCCTTCTGACTCGCGCGCCGGCCCCGGGTGGGTGGGAGAGGGCGCAGTGAGATCAGATAGGGGCGCCATGAAATCTGAGGAGATATCCTGGCCCACGTCATGCTATCCCCCCCTCCCTAAATCCCCCCCCCCCCCTCTTTGCCGCCCCCGAGATGCTCACCGGCATCGCATGCCCAGGACGGGCCCGGGGAAGCGGCCGCCGGCTCGCTCCTCGCGCAGCTGCCGCAGCTCCCGGGCCGCCTGCGGCCGCCCTCCCCCGCGCATCACCGCGCCGCGGCGCCCCCAGATCCGGGGGGGGGGCAAGGGGTGGGGGGCGCGAGGCCCGGCTCTCCTGCGAGACCCCCCCCCCTGTGCCCAGACCCCCCCCTCGAGTCACACAAAAATCACGACGAAGGGCTCTTCACCAGTTTCGGCCTCGGGAGGCCCCTGCGGGCCCTCGGGCCCGTCCAAAAGCGACGGCCGGGCTGAGAAGCCGGTCCAGGGGAACGGGTCGAGACCTCCGAGGGTCGACGATGCGAACAGATCATGACGTCATGGGTCTGGGCTTACGTAGGATTGAGAAAATCTGAGGCTGAGAAAATGAGTTCCCCGCCACGCGTTTTCTTAGACAGCAGTCTAGGCACATATCTACTAATGTTCTACGAGAAAAGGGAGCTGCTATCTCTCAAGGTTCCACATGGGTGCCCAGTGTTTGCCGATCTCCGACAATGCAATATTTAATATGACCGAGCCAAAACAATGCTGGCATGCTTGCTCATCTGTGGACCTGCGCCCATCCTTTTGTTGGAGGAGGAGGAGGAGGAGGAGGAGGAGGAGGAGGGATGGATGAGGTGAGGGGGAGGGAGAAGGAGGAGAGGAGGAGGAGGAGGAGGTAAGAGGAAGGGAGTGAGGAGAGGAGGAGGAGGAGGAGGAGGAGGGGGGGGCGGAGGAGGAGGAGGAGTGAGGGGGAGAGGAGCGAGGAGGAGAGGAGGGGTGGAGAGGGCGGAGGAGGTAGGAGGGTGGAGGGGACGAGGAGACAGGTGAGAGAAGGAGGAATGAAGGGAGGAGGAGGGCGAGGAGGAGGGAGGAGGAAGGGAGGGAGGAGGGACGAGGGAGAAAGAAAAAGAAGAGGGGAGAGAGGAGGTAGGAGGAGGCAGAGGAGGAGGAGTTTAGGATGAGGAGTAGGAGTCCAGGGGAGGAGAGGAGGATGGGATGAGGGGTAGGAGGAGGAGGATGAGGGGGTGAAGGCGCGGAAAGGAGTGTAATGGGAGGTAGAGGTGGGGAGGGAAGAGGGTCAGGGAGGGGGGCCTGCGAGGAGGTGATTGCGGACTCAGCAAAAGCTCCTTGCCAGATCCCAAGTGGGGGCACTACAGATGTCCACGGACCGTCGGCGAGGCCCCCCCGCGAGCACGAGCACGGCTGAGCCTTTTAGGCTGTCCGCCTCTGCTGCAGTCGCCGACCACTGGACCTGCATCCCCCGGGGCTCACCCTTCTCGGAGGCACCCAGAAGTCTTGGGAGATCCTGAAGGTCAAGCTCCAGAAATCATACAGGTGGCTCATGGTCAGGTCCCACATCTCCGCCGTCATCGCCACCCTCTGCGACAGAAGGTGGAACCCCGTCTCAGCTTGGCTCTGGAAGGATCCCCGAGGCCACGCGTGCCGTGTCAAGCCCCTGAGCTGGGACCAGCAGAAGCTCGTTATGTTTCGCGTGGAGCTCCTCCTTAGCATGCGCATTTGGGAATCCACGGCCAAGTTCGGGCATAACTCCAGGGGCCTGGAGGAGGGGGGGGGCTCTACTCGCTCAGGCTCTACCCAGGCGGGAAACAGGCCGCCATCAGAAAGAAAGAACGGGAGATCGCCGAGAACCCCACACCCAAGGCCCAGCTCATTCAGCTCCAGGAGGCACTCCAATGAGCCGTCTCTCAGTCAGTCGCTCTCACCGCAATTTCTTGTTCGAGGTGCTGGAGCACCCACCGCAGATTTGAGAGTGGCCAGCCAGAAGACTCCCAGTGTCCTCGGTGCGGCAAAGATCATGCAGATGATGTACATAAGTTCTGGACGTGTCCTGAATTGGCCAACTTGAACCTTCCAGGCATCCAGCGTACACAGGCCTCAGAAGGCCGAGCTGTGCAAGAGTCCCAAGTGAACCAGTGCTTGTGGCTCCGCGGCATCATCCCAGCCACCCTCCTCCGCCAGGTTCCTGATCACATCATCGGCCTGAACCAGGCCAAGGTCAGAAAAATAGTTTTTGAGCAGTATCCAGTCTATCAATTTGACGATTGGCAGGTGGCGGCTACGGATGACAGCAGCGGGACTCTCACGGAGGACCCCCGACTCAGAGTCTGTGGCTGGAGCGTCTCCCTGTGGACAGAGGGCCTCACCTGGAGAGGCACCGTTCAGGGGGGGCATCATACTGTGCCCCTGGCGGAGCTCGAGGCAGTCATCGATCTCTGCCAGTCCACCCAGGGCCAGCTCCTCCTCATCACATAATGCGCCTGCGTCATGTCAGGTTTCTCCACAGGGCCCCAGTACAGGTACCCCAAGAACCTCTACACGTGGCGGAAATTCTGGAGTCTAGCAGCCCAGAGGCGGGACGATTAGAATTTCTAGTGTCACCCCACGGAGCTCAAGGCCGCGCGGGAACCTCTCTGGGCCTCCCATCTTCATGAGCATGCCGACAAGCTTGCATCCGAGGCAGCCCGTTGGAGACGTGTCCCAGACTGGCTCGTCAGACAGATCGAAGGAGCTGACATTCATGCTGATCTCATTCGAGACAGGCTCGCTTCCATCCAGCAGCATTATTGGGATAATAAGGAGACCCTGGGCCTGCAGGAGGATGAGGAGATCAAGCAGCAGCGTAGGAAGGCACATGTAGATAAGAGTGTAGCAGCCCTCCAGGTAGAGCTCAGCAGAACGTCTCAGTGTCTCTCGTGTGCCCCGTCCCCTGCCCTCTTCAAGATATCCTGAAGGCTTTGCGGGAGTTCAGGGAGTGTCATTAAACGGACCCCCAGGTGGCTCAAATCCCCCTGCTGGCCCAGGGATCCCCAGCAGCGCTTTCATCCCAGAAACCCGCCCTCCATCCAAGCTTTGAGGGGTATTCGATGGCGCTCCCGCTGTGGAGCCTGGACCGTTCGTGCTGCCAAGAAGCTCGCGGATCCCTGCCGAGCCCCCACAGACGGAGGCAGGACGGCGATCCAGAAGCTCACCCCCTCCTCCTCCTCCTCCTCCTCCTCCTCCTCCTCCTCCTCCTCCGCCTCCTCCGCCTCCGCCTCCTCCGCCTCCTCCTCCTCCTCCTCCTCCTCCTCCTCCTCCTCCTCCTCCAGGAAGGGTGAGCTCACGCCAGGTAGCAAAGCCTGGCCAGACGGGGCCACATGAGGCTCGTCGTCGGCGGCCCCCACGCGGAGGGGACGGACCAGCCGCCGAGGCAGGCGCGCGGAGGAGGAGGAAGGAGGAAGGCGGAAGGAGGAAGGAGGAAGGAGGAAGGAGGAAGGAGGAAGGAGGAAGGAGGAGGAGGAGGAGGAGGAGGAGGAGGAAGGAGGAGGAGGAGGAGGAGGTGGAGAGGAGTGGGAGGAGTCGGGGAGGAGAGTGTAGGAGTGCAGGAGGGAGGAGGAGGAGGAGGAGGAGGTAGGAGAAAGGAGGAGGAGGAGGAGGGGGGGGAGTAGGAGGAGGAGGAGGAGGAGGGAGGAGGAGGAGGATGAGGAGGGAGACGGAACTCAAGTCTGCTGCCGAGGCAGGCGCGCTGGAGGAGGAGGAAGGAGGAAGGAGGAGGAAGGAGGAGGAGAGAGGCAGGAAGGAAGAAGGAGGGGGAGGAGGTAGGGAGGGAGGAGGGAGTGGAGAGAGCGGGGGAGGAGAGTAAAGGGACTGGAGGAGAGAGGATGAGGAGGAGGTAGGAGAGGATGAGGATGAGGGGAAAGCTAGGGAGAGTTCGGAGGAGGAGGAGTAGCGGTAGGGAGGAGGAGGGATAATGAGGAAGAATAGGGGAGGGTTACCCAGATGCGGGTTGTGTTTTGTGGGTGTCTGATGAGTGTGGCTATGCGAGCCTCCGACAGCATCGAGTGCAGCCTCGACTGGAGCGGTGTGATACATCTGAACCAAACAAGCACAGCACGGAATGTAACTCGTGGGCTGTTGGCACGCACTGCCAAATATGTATGACTGAGTTCCACACTCACGGTATATTGTGCAAGCATCTTAAGCAAAGTAGAAGTTGTGCCATGAGCTGGCACGCCATGATTCAGCACAGAGTTGATCAGGAGGAGGTCCAGGAGTGGAGGAGCATGAGTGCCAAGCTTCAGAAAAGGAATCGGGGGGGTGGGTGGGAGGCACGAACATCAGGTCGAAACAGCTGCTGTCCGTTTGCTGGGCCCTGCCAGAGGGGAGAGAACTCATCATGACAAACCTGCCCCAGTGCAGCCGCCCGCTGCGCAGGTCGAGGTTCAGGCCAAGTATACAGTCATGCCCAGGGCAATGCTAGACATGCTGGCGCCCTTTTTTGTTATAGTTGGCAAAGGCCAGCGACAAGAGCAAGAATTCCAGGCCACTCTGGAAACTGCGAGTGCTCAAAAAGGTCAAGAGATAATCGTGCTTCACCTCTCTTGGGAAGAGTGGGCCGAGCAGGATGTCCATATGTGGTGCGACACAATAAAAAACGGGGGCCTGGCTGGAAGGGCCTTTTTTGTGCCTGTGTGCTGGGGCGTAAGGTCTGCCCGCGAAAGAAGTGTAAGGTCATCGGGGGAACCGTGGGGGAGGCCCCAGCTTAATTCGAAAGAGCGCGATATCCCGCGGATTGAGAACTCTGCCATCCGAGGTGCCTTGTTTCTCAGCGTGAATGCAAAATTGCACCGAGTCCCGTGGATCACCGTGAGTCCGACGATGATGGGACATCGACTCTCCTTCGCCAAAATGCCCATGGTTTCTGATATTGCTACCCATTGTAACAGCAGCGTGTTTGAACTCCATGCGTGCGCTTTCGGCGATAATACATATCGTGATCCCTTCTCCATTCTACCCGTGCACCTTGAGTGTCTGACCCAGGTGATCGGAGCCTTGGAGGGAGGAGGGAGGTGCAGTGGAGGACACCTGCATTGGAGCTGCGCTGGGAAGAAGGAGTGTCTCAGCTACAGCCTCCGGCCCCACTTGTGTGCTCTTGTTGCTGATGCGTTTGCGAGTGCATGGCAGTGTTGTGCTCATGAGATTAGCGGTGATAAGATAGATAGCCTGTGAGGTTGGGGTGGATAACTACTGGCGGCCTCTTGATCCGTTCATATCCTGTGACTGACTGCTGGGCTCGTCGGTGGTCCGTGGTGCTTTGTTGGATGGGACACTGATGTCACGACACCTACTGCACGAACGGATCCGCTCCTAAGTGAGCGCTCCATGTCCTGATCCCTTGCCCCATTTTCCCAAGCCAAGAATAGGCCACTTATGTACAGGCCTTTATCGAGCCGAGCCGAGCCGAGGAGGAGGGGGAGGAGGGGGAGGAGGGGGAGGAGGAGGAGGAGGAGGAGGAGGAGGAGAGGAGGGGAGGAGGAGGAGGAGGAGGAGGAGGAGGAGGAGGAGGGGAAGGAGGAAGGAGGAGGAGGAGGAAGAGGAGGAGGAGGAGGAGGAGGGGGAGGAGGGGAGGAGGAGGAGGAGGGCGAGGAGGAGGAGGAGTGAGGAGGAGGAGGAGGAGGAGGACCGCCTCCCTCCTCCGACCTCGGAGGCGGTCCCTGGACTTCTCGCGGCGTCCATCCCGACCCGTCGTTCGATGCGGCGCAAGCCGTGCGGTGGGGCGGCGAGAAGCCTGCAGGAGGCAGGACCAGGAATCCAGACGTGAGACGCCATGGGCTTCTCAATTCGGGGATGGACAGACCCCCCTTTAGCAAAACGTGGTTTAGTGAAAACGACCTGAGGCCCAAACCTGGCGGGCACAAGCCTGGAAAATAACGGCCGCGGCGCCCTCTCGAGAACCGAAAACGGACAATTCACTAATCGACGTGTCACTGTTGGGGGTTCTG